TTTATACTACACATGCCCTGGGCCATCACGCACAACCTAGCATCTAGACAAATGTATTCTGAGAGACACGACACAGCGTTAGATAAACTGTATGGCTGGCTGCTAGGAACAGGAAGGTGAGTTGAGTCAAATATAATCAGGCCACTTAATCCTTTGTGGAAACTGGAAGAGAGACATCTGCGTTGAGTCAGAGACTGTCAGAAGCAGAAATGGAAAGTGGGTGTGGCCGTGTACCCCAGAAATTTCAGTATTTGGGAGGTGGAAGCAGGAGGGGGGCTAGCTTGGGCTATGCACAGAAACCTGTTTCAAAGAATAAAGCAAAGGTAACAATGGGGAATTCAGTGAGAAAAGCTGACTTCATGTCTCCACATAGCCTGCAGTGGCCAGCGGGTTTCAGGTCACCTTCAAAGCAGAAGGACTTAAAATATTCAGTGTTTAGACATCAGTGCTTATACTTTGATGCTCATGGCTCCCAAACTGGGAGCCTCACATTCCTGGAGAGGGTGGCAATGGCACTTTCAGAAAAATAACTAACCCCCTGCTCCCTGTAGGGAAAGATAAATCAATGGAAATATGCATGTAATTGAGGTAGTGTTGGGGGCTGAGGACCCCAGGCCCTGAATTTCTTGTAAACAACTTGCTATGCATGCAGCTGCTCTGAGCAAAACAACTTGTTTTCCTGTGTTTGCAGCTGCTCTGAGCACGAGACCCTCAGGAGACCCTGATGGCAGGGGAGTGGTTTCTGGTGGGTTTGGCTGGGGCATGGCTATCAGTTAAGGATCCCTATATAAGCAGCACTGGACCATAATAAATAAAGGGGGCATTCTTGTTTCTTTTCTTTTTTCTTTTTTTGGTTTTTCAAGACAAAGTTTCTCTGTACTTTTGGTGCCTGTCCTGGAACTAGCTCTTGTAGACCAGGCTGGCCTCGAACTCACAGACATCTGCCTGCCTCTGCCTCCCAAGTGCTGGGATTAAAGGCGCGTGCCACCACCACCTGGCGGCATTCTTGTTTCAAGGATGACCCATGTCCCTGTGTCTCTGTCTACGTGTGAAGGTTTTTAAATCTCTAGCCCCTTTCCTAGGATCTGTAGTGCAGGTTGTACAGTACAGGTGTAGTACCGTAGTACATGTAGTAGTACGGAAGCTACAGGTGGAGGCCCTCAGCGAGCTCGAAACCTGGGATCACGCTGAAGTGGTTTACTGGAGGGCGCCAAAGCAAGCTCCAGGTTCAGTGAAAATAAAAATCCACCAGGATCAAAAAGGAGCAGATAGTGAAACACTGACTCAGGACTGGAGCGATGGCTCAGCAGTTAGAGCCATTTTCTCTCACAGAGGATCTATGCTGCCTGTACCTCCAGCTGCAGGGGATCCAACACCCTCTTCTGGCCTCTGCAGGTCCCTAAATGCACATGCACACACCCACACACACACATCATCGTCATAGAGAAGCATCGGCAGACATTGAAGAGACCACAAGAGCTGGTGATGTAGTGTGCGTCTCCAAGCTCAGCGACTGGGGAGGTTGAGGCAGGAGAAGAAGCAAGAATTCAAAGACAGCCTGAGCCACGAGGCAGGTTACCACCTCAACGAAAGGAAAAACAAAGGACAAAAACGAGAACCAGATAACTAGATAATTTCATCTTACAATTATTGCAGAAAAAAAAGAGCAATCTCCCAAAATCTAAGTAAACTAAAACAGAAGGGAAGGGAGTTTTTATGAATTCAAGAGTAGGCATTCTTCCTTTTTTAAAAACAAAACAAAACAAAACAACAACAACAAAAACTAGAGTCTCATTATGCAGCCCAGGCTAGCCCCAAACTTTCATCTATTTGTCTCCAGCTGCTGGGCTTACAGGTGTGGGTCGCCTCATTCACCACAGTGAAAACTCTTGAGTAAAATATGCTGAATGATCACTTTGTATCCTTAAAGAGACAACAACATAGTCTAGCTGAGTTTAGCCCAGGATAATTTAGTTCAATGTAGGAAAATGGATTAATGTAATCTACAGTATTAATGAATTAAAGGAAGCAGAAAATGATATTTGGTTAACAAACAAGCTTTTTTTAAAAAAAACAGACATTTTGGAGGGCTGAGAAGCTACCTCAGCAGTTAAGAGCACTGGCTGTTCTTTTAGAAGACTTGGGTTCAGTTCCCAGCACCCAGGGTGGCTCACAATTACCTGTAACCCCAGTTCTAGGGGACCTGGTGACCTCTGCTGGTCTCCACAGGCCCTGTACACTTGGCACACAAATGCACACTCAGGCAAACATCCATGCACATAAAACAAAACAAAACAAAAAGATATTTTGGCAAAACAAGAAGAGAGGGATAATTTCTGTTTTAAAAAGGTATATTAAAACCAGTCTTTTACTTTCTCTTCCCTTCCTCCCCCTCCTTCCTTTCATTTTCAATCAAGATCTCCCTTGGCCTAGCTGGCCTAGAGCCCGCAGCCAGCTCACTGACTCCACCTCCCAAGCGCCGGGGTTAAGGCCTGTTTCATCACACTCTTAGTGGGAAAGATCTGAAGCATTCTCCATAATCAAGGAGATAAAGAAACCCACAGTGACTACTGCCTTCTGCACAAGGAGGTCACGGACTGCAGAGGAAGAGAAGAAACACAAAGAGGCACAGAGATAAAGGGCAGTGGACACAACTATAGCACTGGCTGCTGACAGCCAAAACGGGTCACCAAGGAAGGCTTGGGGCTCTGACAGCCACAGGTAGCCTATGGTCTAGATACCTGTAAATCAGTACTGATGACGCTTTAGGGACGGCTCAGTGGTTAAGAAGACTGAGGTTTGATTCCCAGCACCCACATGGTGGTTCGCAACCCCCTCTAACTCCACTTCCAGGGGATCTGATGGTTCTGCTGACCTCCATAGGCACCAGGTACACAGGTGGCCAACAGATATACAAGCAGGTAAAACATTCACACACAAAAATAAAAATAAATAAAAATATTTTTTAAAAAGAACATATATATATATTTGTACCACACATGACCCATAAATGGAGCTGACTTCATTTACACTAGAGATTTTAAACATTCTTCAGTCTATCTTATCTTAGTTTTAATTATTGTTTAGAATTAGCATCTATCTATCTATCTATCTATTTTTTGAGATGGGATTTCTCTGTGTAACACTGACTGTCCTGGAACTCACTCTTGTAGGCCAGGCTGGCCTTAACTCAGAGATCCACCTGCCTTTGCCTCCCTAGTGCTGATAATAAAGGCATGCATCAGCACCACCCAGCGTCTTTATTTTTAATTATGTGTGTGAGTCTATTTGGGAACAAATGCATATGAATAAAGGTGTCCACAGAGACCAGAGGCATGAGACCCCTGGAGCTGGATTTACAGGAAGTTGTGACCAGTCTGGCGTGGGTGCTGGGAATTGAACGTGGTCCCTCTGCTGGAGCAGTATGCCCTCTTATCTACTCAGCCATCTCTCCAACTATTTGGTCTTTGGTTTGCTTTTTGAGACAGGGTTTATAGCCCCGTATACTGTATAGCCCTGGGTATACTGGAACTCTCTTTGTAGACGTGGCTGCCTTTGAATTCAGAGATCCATCTGGCTCTGTCTCCTGAGTGTTGCGGTTAAAGGCATGCACCACCACAGACCGGCATATATATTTTTAAAGATTTACTTTATGTTTACTTTATGTCTGTGCATCACATGCATGCAATACCTACGGAGGCCAGAAGAGGTCATTGGATCGCTTGGATTTAGAATCACATAGTTTTTAGCTGCCATGTGGGTGCTTTGACTCCTACCCAGGACCTCTGGAAGAGCAGCCAGTGCTCTCCACCACCGAATCATCTCTCCAGTCCCGTATTTTTCAGTTCTCAAGACAGAGCCTCATATGTCCTAGACTGGCGTCAAGTCCACTGTGCAGACCTTGACCATCGACCCCCCTGCCTCCACTCCCAAGTGCTGGGGTCACAGGTATGTACGCACCACTCTCAACTAGGTAACATTTAATAGTCTGAAGGGGGGCTGCCAAGTAAAAGGGAACCTAATGATTCCTAGGACCCACCTGGCCGAAAGAAGCAGCCCCCTCTACAAAGCTATCTTCTGAGTGTGACACATGAGAGCTACTTGTCACAAAAACACTCACACACAATGTAAAATAGAACATTTAAGCAACACTTCAGATATGATTATCTAGAAGGATAAGTATGGTCACTTAATCAAAATATGAATATCTTTTGGTAAAGTAAAAATCTACCCCACGATGTCAAGAATATGATTTTAGTATATTAAAGTAATAAAAAAAGCCATATATCCCTCCATCCTAACGGAGATATTCCCCACTCAAGGCTTCTTGAACTCATCCAGCAGAGCCGAGCAGTACCACAGAAAAAGCACAGACTGCGATGCCCAAATGGCCCTGGGCACCATGAATGAACGCCACTATTAGCCGCATAATTGTGTTTACACTGTCTTGATGATTTTCATAAAAAGAAAAGGGGCTTCTAGGGAAAAAACACACACACTGGGTTTGGGAAGACAAGGGCACACTTTATATTTGAGCCACGGAGAGGAAATCTTCCGCGGACTTCCAAATGCCTCCCTCACCCAGCCTCCTGGGTATCAGCCCAGATGAATCCATGACACAGCTGGGTATCAGCCCAGATGAATCCATGACACAGAGGGTCAGCCTTTCTGAAGGTCTGGAGCTGCCAGCTTCTCCCACAAGCTGGGCTTCGGCTGCTTAGACACGGCTTCTGACGAGCCACTGAGGAAGGCCTCCTGAACCACTCCTGTTGTGACGCGTCCAGGTCTCCCCCTTACCAGGGTGGTGACTAAGCAAATCACCTCAGGCCTGGTTTTTCCCCCAGTGTGGACTTTGGTCCCCATGGCGATGACACAAAACGAAACCCTGTCCCCAGCAAGTACCCTCTTGTGGTTACACCAGGAAGAGGAAGCTGAGGCCGGGCCTCCTCGGTGGCAGCCTAGGAAGCACGCTCCAGGGAAGCGAGACCAAGTCCCCTCACCTTTTCCACATCGGCTTTGGTCACGTTGATGTCAGCGTCCATCTTTTCGAAGTACTGCTGGGCGCGGTCGGCCTCCTTGCAGTCCCGCTCAAAGCGCCTCTTACTCTGTAGACAGAGCACAGCCAGGCTGGCGGTCATCCACCCCGCTCAGCCTCCTCTGGAGGGACCCCCGCGGGCGTCCTCCCAGAACCCATTCACCACTAGACCCCATCATTTCCCAAAGTGACTTCCACATTTGTCCACATTACAGTGACCCTTCTCCAGTGGAGGATTTACCTGCCTCCACTCGAGCACTTTTTATGAGTGTGTGTACTTGCTTTTGTGCACGTGTGTGTGTGTGTGTGTGTGTGTGTGTGTGTGTGTGTGTGCGCGCGCGTGTGTGTGTGTGCACGAAGAGGTCAGAGGTCAACATGGGACATCTTCCTCCATCACTCTCCACCCTGTTTTAAAGATTTATTTTCATTCTGATTGCATGTGGCTGTGTGTGCATCTTGAGAGGAGTGTCGGCACCTTCAGAGGCCAGAGGTGTTGGGCCAGGAGCACCCAACATGGGTGCTAGGTGAGTATCACCCAACTGGGCGTTGGTCCTCAGAGAGAGCATCAGGTGCTCTTGATTGTTGATATTATCTCTCTAGCTCATACACTTGGCTTTCAGAGATCTCTCTCACTGAGTCTGTAGCTTGCTGATATGGCTAGGCAGGCCGACCAGCCAGTGAGCCCCTGAGATCCTCTTGTCTCTGCCTCCCCAGTGCTGGGATTATAGGCCTATAAGTGATGCTGGGGATCCGAACTCAGGTCCTCATGTTCCCATGGCAGACGCTTTACCCACTGAGCCATCTCTTTCCCAGCATTTCTGGCTCAGCACATTGCTTGCGCAACAGTTCTAGGAGCAAACTAAATGAAGTGCAAATGAGAAAAAGTTAGACTCCTTAGTGGTTTTTGCTTGGATTTTACTTAGTGAGTCATTCAAGCCCTATGAAGACTGGAGAGAGACGGTCTAGGGAGATACTGGCTTAGCAGCCAGCTTCCCACTTACCGACTCCAGTTGCTTCCAGCATGTCTCGATATGCTGCTGGGCCTTCCGTCCATCATGGAAGTTCTGTGCAGGAGAAAACAGAGCAGGGGTCAGCCCCTACATGCCTCATACTAATGCAGGAGGAATACCCTTCCACTTGCTTAAGTACCTTTAAAGTCTTATGTTTATGTTACATGTGTGGCTGCTTCCCCTGCATGTCTGTGCATCATGGGTGTGCAATGTCCCTAGAGGCCTGAATAAGGCATCATCCCTCAGGGCTGCAGTTACAGATGGCTGTGAGCCAAAGTGTGCATACTGGGAACCAAATTCAGGTCTTCTGCAAGAGTAGCAACTGCTTTTCACTGCTGAACCGTCTTTCCAGCCCCATAGCAGCCTGCAGGTACCATCTCAGTGGACGTGTATCTGCCTAGTATGTGTGAGGCCTCACAAAGCATGCCTGTAGTCCAGCACCTATGTGCTTGAGGCAGGAGGATCTCCGTGAGTTCAGGCCAGACTAGAGTGGGATCCTGATCTCAAAAAACAACCAAAGTTTAAATAATAGACAAGTTAAAGGGAAATGAGAACAAGACCGGTTGCTAAGTTCCTTTTAAGGCTTTAGACATAGCAATACTGAATGTGAAATAGCACACGGCTTGCAAAAACAACAGGACTGCCTTACTGAGACAGGTAGTCAGGGAAATGTGGCACGCTTCTTTATCCCAGCACTTGGAAGGCAGAGGCAGGAGGATGTCTGTGAATTTGAGGCCAGCCAAGGCTGCACAGTGAGACCCTGTCTTAAGAGAAAAACAGACAGCAATCACAGGGGTCATCTTTTGAGCGGCAGTGAATTCCATGTTATAGCTTCCCCTCCAATGAACAAAAAATCCTATTTCTTAGCTGTCACCCCCAACCTCTCCTGACTTAGGAAACCAGCCCTGCATCTCTGTGAATTTGCTTCTTCCGGATATGTCACATAGTGGAATCATATAGGCTGAGGAATTTTGTGATTGGCAGGATACTAATATTTTATTTATTTATGTTATCATTCACACGTAGGATGCTTTTAACATTCTTCCTGCTGTAGCGTTTATCTGTCTGCCAATTCTTTTTTCTGACTGAATACCGTTCCGCTGAGTAGAAGTACCACGGTCATGTATCCACTCACTGGTTGGTAGTTTAGGGAGAATATGAACGTTGATGAACAGAGCCCTGCTGTGAGCTCTGTACGAACAGACAGCACATTGTAGAATCTTTAAAAATAGTTGCTTTTAAAAAATAATTTATTTTTGTGTGCACTGGTGTTTTGCTTGAATGTACGTCTATGTGAGGGTGTTAGATCCCCTGGAACTGGAGTTACAGACAGCTGTGAGCTGCCATGTGGGTGCTGGGAATTGAACCTGGGTCCTCTGGAAGAGCAGCCAGGGCTGCCAGTGCTCTTAACCACCGAGCCATCCCTCCCAGCCCCCTCTGAAAATGTTTCATTATTGTGTTTAGGTTGCATATGATGTGTGTGGTGGGGTTGTGGAGGCCAGAGGACAACTTGCCAGTTTGTTCTCTTTCCAATGTGTGGATCCCTGGGGACTGAACTGCAATGCCAGCCCTAGAATCTTTTCCAACAGGCATGTGACTGCTATCAACCTCCAAGAGCCCCAGGGAGCTGGATCAGGAGAAGTTACAGAAAGGGAGAAGATGGGCTCAGTGAGGGGGACAGGAGGCTCGGGGGTCTGACTGAGCATAAGACTGTGGGTGACTCTGAATTTGGGTGGTGTGAAGGGAAGACTCTGGAATGGAGGTTATTGCCCAGTTACCTGCAAGTGGGAGGACTTTCACCCAAACTCGACAAGTTCTCTAACACTGGCCCCACCCCACCACCATGGGTGTCTTTTGATTAGTGGAGCCACTGGGAATATAGGATCAGATCCGAATTAACAAGGAGCCATGGGTCTTCAAGGTAGCACAGTGGATAAAAGCGCTTGCGGTAAGGACTGAAACCCAGGGTTCGATCCTGGAGTCCCACAAGGAGAGAACCAGTTTCTGAAAGTTGTCCTCTGACCTCTGTACATGTGTTATCCAAGTATGTGCACATGCCCTGGGTCCCGGGCTCTGATCTAAAGAGAACTTATTGGGTTCTATATGGCAGGAAGAAAAGCCAAATCCACAGAGCTGTCCTCTGACCTCCACTTACCTTACCTCCACTTGCACATGGTGACATGCATGTCCGCATACACACACATGCCCAATAAATAGAGATTTTCTCTCTCTCTCTCTCTCTCTCTCTCTCTCTCTCTTTCTTTCTTTCTAAGTCCAGAATGACTCTTGTCTGGCCTGAGTTTCAGGAGGAGCCATGGTGTGAGGAGGGTAAATAGATCTGTAATTTTAAGACTGGTATTTCTAGAAGATTCTAAAGTCTGGTCCAGTGTGGTCTGGGTCTGAGTGCTGGGAAGGGCTGGCATGAAGCCTCATTGTAAGGTGGGTGGTTAAAGCTGCGAGACCACCAAGGACGAAGGCTCTGGAAAAAGAGAATGTTATAGATAGACAGCGGAAATGGTGTCTCTCACCCAGCACCCTGAAATCCCCCGATTTCCGCCAGACAATAATCGGATCAGTGGACCTTGTCTGCATGGCCAGAGGCTGCAGGACCTGTGCCGGCTAAAGGGCTCTGCCCTCCGGGGCTGATTAAATTTGTTGCTTGCAGCTGCCTGGACAGTGTGGCTTCTAGTTTGGCTGAGACTCTTGACCAAAAATACAGTAAACTCTGAGCTCCTACAGGGCTCGCCCTTGACTTGGAGGACAAGGGACAGTAGCAGTTCCCCACCTGGTGGCCCTGGTAAATGTCCTTAGGAGTCCAGACACACATGCGCCTCTGGGGAGGCCAGAGGTTAAAGTTAAGTGTCTTCCTCCGTCATTCTCCACCTTAGTTTTTGCGAACCTGGAGCACACTGGTTCTTCTAGACTGGCTGGTCAGTGAGCTCTTGGGACCTGGCCACTTCTGCTTCCCGTCCCTGGGTTATAGGTGTGCACCGCCATACTGGGGCTTTACAAGGGAGCTAGGAACCCAAACTTAAGTCCTCATGCTTAGGACACAAGTGGCTAACCACTGAGCCATCTCTGAGATCTCTAAATGCTCCTTTAATAGCCTGTCCCTTGTTACCCAGTCTGTGGCCTGCTTCTTCAAGACGAGAGGTACGTTGGATGGCACTGACTCACAGAAAGTGCCAGGTCCCCAACATCCAACCGGAGCCGTACTTGAGCCCCCTCCTAGTCAGACCTACAATTCAGCAGTCCTGGGACAGCCAGGCATCAGGGAAGGCTGGGGAGGGGACAAGGGCAGCCTTTTGTCAAAACAATGATACTTTATTATAAGGGTATGTGTTCTTGTCTCCAGAGGTCAACTGTCACCATTCTGGGTTCTTCTGCAGTTAAGTTCTGACCTTCCTGCAACATTTTCTAAAGATTCAATTTTTAAATTTTATGTGTCCAAGCATTTTGTGTGCATATATTTTGTGTATCACTTGCAAAGAGGTCAGAAGACTTTGGAATCCCCTGGACTGGAGTTATAGATAGTATGAGTTTTTATATGGGTACCAGGAACCGAATCCAGGTCCTCTGCAGACGCTCTTAACTGGGAAACCATTGTTCCAGCCCCATCCTTCATTTTTTTTTTTTTAGTCTCTACAGCCCAAAGGTCTTGTCCCTCCGGCCTTCACTTTTCAATCTCATAATGGTCACAGGAGGGGGTGGGGAGGACAGAGCCCAAGGCTGAGAGTAAAGGAGCCAGGGGCAAGGTTGAGGGAGAACCACGCAGTTTACTGATTGCAGGGTCAAAAGAAAAAAAAACCCTGCTGGGGAGGACAGGAAGCTATGAACAGCTCAGTAAAAAGGAAGAAGAGGCCAGGAAGAAGGCAGAGGGATGTCCTCAGGGGAAGAGAGAGGAAGACAGGAAGGAAACAGAGTCCTTTTCGGACCAGGAGAGCTAACCATGCCCCACCAGAACACTTAGGGGTCTTTAAATTTCCTACTGAGGCCTCTCTCTGCAGGACAGCAGCGTTCTGCGGCCTTCTGAAAAGTGACTCGAGAGTCAAAGGCAGCGCAAATCGGTGGCAGACGAATGTAATCCCTAACTAATCCATAGGTGGAGGCAGGAGGATGGTGGTTCAAGGCCTGCCTGGGCAACTTAGTATAACTCTGTCTCAAGGTAATAAGTAAAAAGAGGGTTGGAGGTTTGTCTCTGCAGCAGTTCTTAATCTGTGGGTCACAACCCTTTGGGGAGGGTGAATGACTCTTTCACAGGGGCCCCATATCAGATATCCTACATATTGGATATCTACATTATGATTCATAACACTAACAAAATTACAATTATGAAGTAGCAGTGAAAGAATTTTATGGCTGAGGTGACACAACATGAGGAACTGTATTACAGGGTTGCAGCATTAGGAAGCTGAAAACCACTGGCCTCGTGGTAAAGGGCTTGCTTACCTGGGCTCAGTGTCCTGTACCACCCCCTAACACATATACATGCAACTAAAATAAAACAGATAAACAGATAAGCAAAATGAAAATGAAAAGTTGAGGCTGGAGGGACGGCTCAGCAGTACCGTGCCTGCAGAGGACCCTAGCACCCACGCCACGTGGCTCACACTGCCCAGAACTCCAGCTCCAGAGGCTCCAGCACCCTCTTCTGCACCCCTGTAAATACTACACTCATGGGCATAGACACACACAATTTCAAAACAATAAAAATGGCCGGGTGTCCCAGCACACGGAAGGCAGAGGCAGGCGGATCTCTGTGAGTTTGAGGCCAACCTGGTCTACAAGAGCAAGTTCTAGGACAGTCTCCAAAGCTACAGAGAAACCTTATCTCAAAAAAAAAAAAATAGCCAGGTGTGATGGAATACACCTTCAATCCTAGGGATTGGGAGGCAGAGGCTGGTGGGTCTCTAAAGTTTCAGGCTAGCCTGGGCTACATAGTGAGATCCTGCCTAAATAAATAAATAAATAAACATTATATTGGGTAATTCTGATTAAAAACCCAGACAGAAAATTCCCCGGCCGTCCTCTTTATAAGCGTGTGGGAATTGCAT